TTATGGCTTGGGGGTAGAAGCTGTTGAGAAGTCTTTTGGACCTAGACTTGGCACTCCGGTACCGCTTGCCGTGCGGTAGCAGAGAGAACAGTCTATGACTAGGGTGGCTGGAGTCTTTGACAATTTTGAGGGCCTTCCTCTGACACCGCCTGGTATAGAGGTCCTGGTGCAGGGTTATGTAACCGGGTGAAAGCCGCCTAGTGATGGCTATTTAACAGTCTGATGGCCTTGAGATAGAAGCTGTTTTTCAGACTCTCGGTCCCAGCACCTGTACTGACTTTGCCTTCTGAATGATAGCGGGGTGAACAGGCAGTGGCTCGGGTGGTTGTTGTCGTCCTTGATTATCTTTTTGGCCATCCTATGACATTGGGTGCTGTAGGTGTCCTGGAGGGCAGGTTGTTTTCCCCCGGTGATGCGTTGGGCAGAACGCACCCCCATTTGGAGAGCCCTGCGGTTGAGGGCGGTGCAGTTGCCATACCAGGCGGTGATACAGCCGGACAGGATGCTATCAATTGTGCATCTGTAAAAGGTTGTGAGGGTTTTAGGTGCCAAGCCACATTTCTGCAGCCTCCTGAGGTTGAAGAGGCGCTGTTCCGCCTTCTTCACCACACGGTCTGTGTGGGTGGACCATTTCAGACACAGGGGTTAGATATGTGTAAAAAACTAAACAAAAATATTTACTGAGCTAGATATAGGAGACACTTAAAAACCTTGTTTCTTAAGATTTAGTTTTGGACTGACCTTTTTGCCATTTATGAATGTGTTATTCAATGCGTTTCTATGGACCATAGTAGTAAAGGTCAAATTCAATAATAAATAAGCTCTAGGAAGAGTCTTGGTGGTTCCAAACTTCTTCCATTTAAGAATGATGGGGGCCACTGTGTTCTTGGGGACCTTCAATGCTGCAGAAATGTTCTGGTATATTTCCCCAGATTTGTGCCTCAACACAATCCTGTCTCGGATCTCTACAGACAATTCCTTCGACCTCATGGCTTGGTTTTTGCTCTGACATGCACTGTCAACTGTGGGACCTTGTATAAACAGGTGTGTACCTTTCCAAATCATGTCCAATCAATTGAATATACCACAGGTGGACTCCAATCAAGTTGTAGAAATATCTTAAGAATGATCAATGAAAACAGGATGCAACTGAGCTCAACTTTAGGGTCTCATAGCAAAGGATCTGAATACTTAAGTAAATAAGGTATTTATGTATTTATTTACTTTATTAAATTTGAAAACATTTCTAAAACATGTTTTTGCTCTGTCATTATGGGGTATTCTGTGTAGATTGATGAGGATAAAAAAATAAATAGAATAAGCCTGTAACGTAACAAAATGTGGAAAAGTCAAGGGGTCTGAATTCTTTCCGAATGCACTGTATACTACTATACCATAACACATATTTTATACTAAACAAAAATATAAACGCAACATGCAACAATTTCAAAGATTTACTGAGTTACAGTTCATATAAGGAAATCAGTCAATTCAAAATAAATAAATTAGGCCCCAATCTATAGATTTCACATGACTGGACAGTGGTGCAGCCAACAGGTGGGCCTTGGAGGGCATACTTGGCAGCCTGGCCCACCCACTGGGGAGCCAGGCCCAGCCAATCAGAATACGTTTTTCCCCACAAAGGGGCTTTATTAAAGACAGAAATACACCAAGCGTGATTCATCACTCCAGAGAACTGCCGGCAAGCTTTACACCACTCCAGCCAACTCTTGGCATTGCGTGCGGCTGCTCAGCCATGGAAACCCATTTCATGAAGCTCCCGACAAAATGTTATTGTGCTGATGTTGCTTCCAGAGGTAGTTTGGAACTCGGTAGTGAGTGTTGCAACCGAGGACAGACGCTACGCGCTTCAGCACTCGCAGGTCCCGTTCTGTGAGCTTCTGTGGCCTACCACTTCGCGGCTGAGCCGTTGTCTATATTAGGTCCCACAGTTGACAGTGCTGGTCAGAGCAAAAACCAAGCCATGAGGTCGAAGGAATTGTCCGTAGAGCTCTGAGACAGGATTGTGTCGAGGCACAGATCTGGGGAAGGGTACCAAAAAAATTCTGCAGCATTGAAGGTCCCCAAGAACACAGTGGCCACCATCATTCTTAAATGGAAGAAGTTTGGAACCACCAAGACTCTTCTTAGAGCTGGCCGCCCGGCCAAACTGAGCAATCGGGGGAGAAGGGCCTTGGTCAGGGAGGTGACCAAGAACCCGATGGTCACTCTGACAGAGCTCCAGAGTTCCTCTGTGGAGATGGGAGAACCATCCAGAAGAACAACCATCTCTGCAGAACTCCACCAATCAGGCATTTATGGTAGAGTGGCCAAACGGAAGCCACTCCTCAGTAAAAGGCACATGACTGCCCACTTGGAGTTTGCCAAAAGGCATCTAAAGGACTCTCAGACCATGAGAAACAAGATTCTCTGGTCTGACGAAACCAACATTGAACTCTTTGGCCTGAATGTGAAGCGTCACATCTGGAGGAAACCTGGCACCATCCCTACAGTGAAGCATGGTGGTGGCAGCATGCTGTGGGGATGTTTTTCAGCGGCAGGGAGGCTAGTCAGGATCGAGGGAAAGATGAATGGAGCAAAGTACAGAGAGATCCCTGATGAATAGGGCGGCAGGTAGCTTAGTGGTTAAGAGCGTTGTGCCAGTAACCGAAAGGTCGCTGGTTCTAATCGCTGAGCCGACTAGGTGAAAAATCTGTCTGTGCCCATGAGCAAGGCACTTAACCCTAATTGTTCCTGTAAGTCGCTCTGGATAAGAGCGTCTGCTAAATGACTAAAATGTAAATGTAGTGAATGTCCTTGAGTTGCCCAGCCAGAGCCCGGACTTGAACCCGCTCGAACTTCTCTGGAGACACCTGAAAATAGCTGTGCAGCAACGCTTCCCATCCAACTTGACAGAGCTTGAGAGGATCTGCAGAGAAGAATGGGAGAAACTCCCCAAATACAGGTGTGCCAAGCTTGTAGCTTCATACCCAAGAAGACTCGAGTCTGTAAACCCTGCCAAAGGTACGTCAACAAAGTACTCAGTAAAGGGTCTGAATACTTATGCAAATGTTTTCTAAAAACTTGTTTTTGGTTTGTCATTATGTTGTATTGTGTGTAGATTGATGAGGATTTATTTTGTTTTATCCATTTTAGAATGTAACGTAACAAAATGTGGAAAAAGTAAAGGGGTCTGAATACTTTCCGAATGCACTGTATAGTTATGGTGTTGAACAAGGCCAAGGACGCCTATATCTTTGTAGTGACTGGGTGTCTTGAGACACCATCCAAAGTGTACTAAAGAACTTCACCTTGCTCAAAGGGATATTCAGCATCTGCTTTTCTTATTTTGATTAATCTACCAATCGGTGCTCTTCTTAGCGAGGCTTTGAAAAACCCCCCTGGTCTTTGTGGTTGAATCTGTGCTTGAAATTCACTACTGGATTGAGGGACTTTACAGATAATCGTATGTGTGAGGTACAGAGATGGGGTAGCCATTCAATAATCATGTTAACAACTATTATTGAACACAGAATGAGTCCATGAAACGTATTATGTAACTTGTTATTAAGCACATTTTTACTCCGGAACATATCCCAGTCCGTGTGATCAAAACAATCGTGAAGCATGTATTCCAATTGATCAGACCAGCGTTGAATAGACCTTAGTATAATTACTTCCTATTTGAGTTTCTGTCTATAGGAAGGGAGGAGCAGAATGTAGTCGTGATCTGATTTGCCGAAGGAAGGGCCTTGTAGCCAAGATATATTTTCTATAAGAGAAACTGTTATGTTTCTCATATGCACTTATTTAAATATTTTTTAAAGACTTCATAATTGGCAGTGTACAAGAAAAATAAAACAATTGAGCATCACACAACAGAAACCTTAAACTAGAATGACACTCAGTAACGGTTTCACAAAAAGAACTGTGTGCAAACCACACACCCAAATATTCTAATGTTGGGCTTGTTATGGGCTTGCCTGTGTCAGGCTGGTGTGGGCTAGCCCGTGCTGGGCCTGGTGTGGGCTAGCCTGTGCTGGGATTGGTGTGGGATAGCCTGTGTTAGGCTGTTGTAGGCTAGCCCATGTCGGGCTGGAGTGGGCTTGGTGTGGGCTATCCCATGCTGGGCCTGCCTGTGTGGGCTTGGTGTGGGCTAGCCCGTGCCCACCTTGCCCACCGAATACCCACATCGGGGCCAATGGGGTCATGTTTGCTGGGAAGTTGCAATCTGCATTATCAAATCAACCTATCTGATTCATATAACCATTCTCCTTCACAGAAATAATATCTGGTGCTACCATCACCACTACCCCAAACCCTCCAATCTTCAAGGGGAGTTTCTATCACCTTAACCTGTGATGCTTCTGGCTTCATCATCAACAGAGAGTGGATGAAGGAATAGTCAGCCTCTGTCCTGCTGGTGGCAACATAACCATCATCTGAGGATAAGAAGACCTCATCTATCAATCCTGTGAATAAAGGTGATGCTGATGAAATACCTGTGTAAACTCCCCAAACCCAGTCAGCTCTGCTGAGGCTGAATACAGTCTGACTGTAAACTGTAATTAGTCTGCTATAAGCCTGAGGTTAAGTTCATACTGCATTTTCACTATTTATGTGTTACATTCTGACCATCACAGAAATGTTGTGGAAAGAAAGATATTATAGAGGGTAATTGGGACATGTAGAATGCATTCCATTGTTCTGTGGATAAATGTACCTGTGTGTTCTTGTTATAGTTGTTGTTATATTGTGTTTATGAAACACAATATTTCAAGAAGACATTTCATCTACTGACAACCATCCTGATCCCAACTTCACACTGATTACCAGCTAATAAAGACATATCATGTCTTCCTGCTGATCTCTGTGTTACAGATGGACCTGAGAAGGTAGGTATCATCAACAGCCCAAATGAAATAGAAGTAGGACAGAAGTTTACATTGAACCTGCTCTGCTGAACCCCATACCCACTGCTAGTTACACCTGGATGCACAATGGGACAGAAATACCTGGACATTCACCTGAGTCACCAGTTCACTAAGGAGACGAGTGAATACTCTGACAGTGGGGAATACACATGTACAGCAACAAATTATTTAACTGGAATTGAAACAAAATCTCCAGTCCATAAATTATCAATAAAAGGTCAAGTTAGCAGAGGCTGTAGAGAAAATATGAAGATAGTAAGTTGATAGCATTTACATTTTTGGGAAACTTGATACAAGATGATTCAGTCATATTAATTTTGCATTTCAAACCTTTTTTGAAATAGTGCCTTTAGTTGTCTTTGTTATGTTGTAATTGTTACCCATTTGTACTGTATTGTGCAGTACTGCCTGTTCACTGTGTAGCCTTTCATCTCTGCATGGTTCTTTCTCTGGTCTCTGCAGTGGAGGACTCTTCATCACCAGGACTGTCTGCTGGTGCCATCGCTGGTATTGTCATTGGAGTGTTGCTGGTTGCAGGAGTGGCAGTTGGTGTTGCAGTGTTCTTCATCAGGAAAACTGGGTGAGTTAAGAAACTTTTAATTCAAACAAGTGTCTCTTCTATCACTACAGTTAGTAGAAAATGTAGGTTCTATTTTTACATTGATCAAAACTGGTCACAAAGAGGGCCTGTGTATTTCAAAAGCACTGTATATTATGTTCTTATAACTTCACTGTAAACTGTTAAAAGCACTGTAATATTATCTTCTTATAATTTTCTAGACAGCAACCTTTCTATGTTTATTTTTTGTTTTATATAGAACCAATGCTGAGCCAATGCATCAAGGAGGTGAGCAGACTGTATCTTCAATCTTACAGGTCATTATGGGAAATCTAATGAATCATGTTTTTTAAATGTTGATTTTCTAAACATTTACATTTTAATTTTAGTCAATTAGCAGACACTATTATCCAGATCTACTAACAGTTTCCACAAATAATTTAAATGGATTCAGACAAATTACATGATATAGTACAACACCACTATGTCTTAATAGTGTAACCACTAATGCTTAATACTGTAATAATGCTTATGCAGAAAAATGCAGACAAGATATCAGCATTTATAGAACCCCTCTATTTGTGTATCTCTTACAGGCTCTCAACAACCTGTATATGAGAACCCATCACCTGTACATGAGAACCCATCACCTGTGTATAAGAACCCATCTCCTGTATATGAGAAGCCATCACCTGTGTATGAGAACCCATCAACTGTGTATTAGAACCCATCACCTGTATATGAGAACCCATCAATCTCCACCTCTACCCCTGACAGTAAGTATGACATTTACATTTTAGTCATTTAGCAGACGCTCTTATCCAGAGCGACTTACAGTACTGGCCCCCCGTGGGAATCAAACAAACAACCCTGGCGTTGCAAACGCCATCCTCTACCAACTGAGCTACATCCCTGCCAGCCTTTCCCTCCCCTACCCTGGACGACACTGGGCCAATTGTGCGCCGCCCCATGGGTCTCCCGGTCGCGGCCGGCTACAACAGAGCCTGGAGTGCCTTAGACCACTGCGCCACTCGGGAGAGGCAGTTCACCTTTGATGTGTCTGTGGACATTTGTATTCTACTACAGTCTTACTGTAAAAAACAAGATTACTTTGCTTAACAGGATGTACATGTTATGATGAGTTTCTCTGGCATCAAGTAATTCAGTATGCAAGAAGATAGGTAAACACTTAGATGGAGAGTTGATACAATGTATTTAATATACGGTACCGGATTCAGCATAACGAACGGCACTTGAGTTGCCCCTCGTTATCTGAATGAAAGGCATACAAAATATATCTGTTTATATACTGCTTTGCAAGCTAATTCTATCCAACAGTTGCCAAACATTATTGAGTGTCACTCCTCACCACAATAGTATCACCCTACAGTGAGGGAAAAAAGTATTTGATCCCCTGCTGATTTTGTACGTTTGCCCACTGACAAAGAAATGATCAGTCTATAATTTTAATGGTAGGTTTATTTGAACAGTGAGAGACAGAATAACAACAACAAAAATCCAGAAAAACACATGTCAAAAATGTTATAAATTGATTTGCATTTTAATGAGAGAAATGAGTATTTGACCCCCTCTCAATCAGAAAGATTTCTGGCTCCTAGGTGTCTTTTATACAGGTAACGAGCTGAGATTAGGAGCACACTCTGAAAGGGAGTGCTCTAATCTCAGCTTGTTACCTGTATAAAAGACACCTGTCCACAGAAGCAATCAATCAATCAGATTCCAAACTCTCCACCATGGCCAAGACCAAAGAGCTCTCCAAGGATGTCAGGGACAGGATTGTAGACCTACACAAGGCTGGAATGGGCTACAAGACCATCGCCAAGCAGCTTGGTGAGAAGGTGACTACAGTTGGAACGATTATTCGCAAATGGAAGAAACACAAAATAATGTCCATCTCCCTCGGCCTGGGGCTCCATGCAAGATCTCACCTCGTGGAGTTGCAGTGATCATGAGAACGGTGAGGAATCAGCCCAGAACTACTCGGGAGGATCTTGTCAATGATCTCAAGGCAGCTGGGACCATAGTCACCAAGAAAACAATTGGTAACACACTACGCCGTGAAGGACTGAAATCCTGCAGCGCCCGCAAGGTCCCCCTGCTCAAGAAAGCACATATACAGGGCCGTCTGTAGTTTGCCAATGAACATCTTAATGATTCAGAGGAGAACTGGGTGAAAGTGTTGTGGTCAGATGAGACCAAAATGGAGCTCTTTGGCATCAACTCAACTCGCCGTGTTTGGAGGAGGAGGAATGCTGCCTATGACCCCAAGAACACCATCCCCACCGTCAAACATGGAGGTGGAAACATTATGCTTTGGGGGTGTTTTCCTGCTAAGGGGACAGGACAACTTCACCGCATCAAAGGGACGATGGACGGGGCCATGTACCGTCAAATCTTGGGTGAGAACCTCCTTCCCTCAGCCAGGGCATTGAAAATTGGTTGTGGATGGGTATTCCAGCATGACAATGACCCAAAACACACGGCCAAGGCAACAAAGGAGTGGCTCAAGAAGAAGCACATTAAGGTCCTGGAGTGGCCTAGCCAGTCTCCAGACCTTAATCCCATAGAAAATCTGTGGAGGGAGCTGAAGGTTCGAGTTGCCAAACGTCAGCCTCGAAACCTTAATGACTTGGAGATGATCTGCAAAGAGGAGTGGAACAAAATCCCTCCTGAGATGTGTGCAAACCTGGTGGCCAACTACAAGAAACGTCTGACCTCTGTGATTGCCAACAAGGGTTTTGCCACCAAGTACTAAGTCATGTTTTGCAGAGGGGTCAAATACCTATTTCCCTCATTAAAATGCAAATCAATTTATTTTAACATTTTTGACATGCATTTTTCTGGATTTTTGTTTTGTTATTCTGTCTCTCACTGTTCAAATAAACCTACCATTAAAATTATAGACTGATCATGTCTTTGTCATTGGGCAAACGTACAAAATCAGCAGGGGATCAAATACTTTTTTCCCTCACTGTATATGGTATCATGTTGCTAGTCAGGACATTCCATCACGTACTCCTTCTAAGATTAGCACCAGTGGCCCCCCAGCTATCTTGGAACGCATATCTTCTGGCAACCACCAGTTACAGAAATAAATACATGGAATGTCCTCATCCTCAAAATCCTATGCAGCTCACAATATCAAACATTAACAAATCCTGTATAAAAGATGTAATATCAGTACAGTGTGAAAAAATACTGTATGCAAAGACTGTTTGCCTATGATAGTGTAATCCAGGAAGTTTTACTTTTGACTGAATGACAGCGATTCAGTCTTTGGAATATTGACCTTATTCATTAACATATGATCGCTTTAAACGTTTGTTCAGGACACTGAGGTTTTATATTTTGTCATGGCAACTGTTGAAGTGACTGTTCCTTCTATGTAATGCCTTTTTTAATTTAATATTTTATCCCAAATTATGAAATGCAGGACTTCAAGAGTAACTATGATACTAAGATAATGGTAAGTTTGCGTTGGATATACCATATGGCGGCACCATTTGTTTGAAATGCTGTCCAAAATTGTATGTGTTGTTTGTAAAGTCTTCATGTTGTGTCATTGCTGATAAATGGAAGTTAATGTTCCTTTCTTTTCTCCTTCACCTTCAATGGAACAGTAAGAGAAGTCAATGGAAATTACCTCCATTCAACCATCATTCTCCAGTTCCATCATCAACACATAGAAAACCTGCATGATAACACCCAGTGTGTATCCGTAATATAATGCACATAATCAATAAATATATCTTATGTTTGATAATCTGCTTTATTGTGTACATTATTCATATTGAAAACCAAAACCTTGTTAAGTAAAGTAGATAACAACAATACTGTAACTGATCAAAGCATGTGGAGGATGTAATGTTAACAATATAATGTAAATAGTCAAGTATTTATGGAACACTGTATTGTGAAGTGTGGAGTCAAAAATGCAAAGATGCTTGAGTTTTTTATTGCTTTACATGATTTAAAAACAGAATTAATAATAACGATTGCCATCTTTATTCCCATCAACTTTGCTGTCCTTTGTGTCAAATGGGATGTTGATATCAGTTAATTCATTCATACAAAACTGGGTGTTGGTTCTAAGTGATCCTACAGTGATGTCAGTGTTAGAGAAGGAGTATACAGTGCATTCGGAGTATTCAGACCCCTTGACTTTTTCCACATTTTGTTACGTTACAGCCTTATTCTAAAATTTATTAAATCGTTTTTTCCCCTCATCAATCTACACACAATATCCCATAATGACAAAGCAAAAACAGGTTTTTATGAATTTTTGCACATTTATAAAAAATGAAAAAATGAAATATGACATTTACATAAGTATTCAGACCCTTTACTCAGTACTTTATTGAAACACCTTTGGCAGCCATTACAGCCTAGAGTCTTCTTGGGTATGACGCGACAAGCTTGGCACACCTGTATTTGGGGAGTTTTTCCCATTGTTCTCTGCAGATCCTCTCAAGCTCTGTCAGGTTGGATGGGTAGCGTCGCTGCACAACTATTTTCAGGTCTCTCCAGAGATGTTAGATCGTGTTCAAGTCCGGGCTCTGGCTGGGCCACTCAAGGACATTCAGAGACTTGTCCCGAAGCCACTTCTGCATTGTCTTGCCTGTGTGCTTAGGGTCATTGTCCTGTTGGAAGGTGAACCTTCGCCCCAGTCCAAGGGGTCCAAGGTGCTCTGGAGTAGGTTTGATTGGTGGGGACCAAAGTCCACTATGTTTATCAGTCAAAGCATGCAAAGCAAGAGAGGGCAACATTGTTACCAGGCTCAGTAAATGGAAAACCCCACACTGCTTCCTTATTTGTTTTAGTTGAGGTGGAGTGTAGTATATTAATTTGTTCCTTCATGCAACGATGTAACTCATGAAAATATTTTATCTCAATATTTCTTCCTCATATCAAGTTACTGTAGACCGCTTTTATTGCAGCCCTATCTTCTACATAATACTTATTTGTAGAGACAGAGCTACAGTCTGAATCACAGACATTTGATACAGAAGAGATGGTGGCAGCTGCAGTCGTCTTTCTTACCATGGCAATACTCTCAGGTGAGACCTTATCTGCTGCACTCAATAAAATACAGCCACACATAGGTTCACTAAAAGCACCAACATGAGGTTAATTTTGACACCAAGGGGTAAAACATTTCATAATTTCTAAACCCTTTTTGGATTCTTCTGAAATTTTAGGACCATGATTTCTGTGTTGATGTAATAAATTCTACTCCGCTTCCATGACAGTAGGAATTGTTCTTCAATCAATAGCAGGTTCTTTGTCAATAGTCATAGACGTAGTTTCAATTATGTTCATATCCATCTCTAAGGCCATACACATTTAATTAAATTGCTGTCACACCTTGTCCATAGACTGCTTACAAGGTAAAGAAATCAATGTCATTTTGTAATTTGGGTGAACTATCCCTTTAAGGTGGTGACACGTATTCTCATTATTAGTCCTTCTTAATATTTGCTTGCACAAAATATAATTATTCTACTGGGCACAATGGCTTCTACAGTGACTTCCAAAATTGCCTTGGTAAAATAATTATTCTGTAAGAACTATAAAAACCCATTTGAAAACTTTCCACTACAATCTTTGTCTGCAGAAATTTGGTGTCCCTCTTACAGTGAGTATACCCATATTCAGAAAACACTCATGTTTGAACCAGCTGAACTTTGCTCTTCTGAAATCTGA